ACAGGGATGTTGGGAAAGAGGGTTGGGTTAGCAGCAGGGTTCGTTTTGGTAAACGATAAGCTGAATTGATGTCCTAACGATCGTATAACGCGAAGAAGCTTGGGATTGAACCCACGGTTCTCTGCTCAGTAAGCAAAAACGTCTGCCACTAGGCAGACGAGCTCCTTTTTAATCATTGACGAATCTTGAATGTGGATGGGCCTGAGACTAGACTCATGATGTTCTGCTCAGTAAGCAAAAACGGTTGATCTAAGGCCACCGAGCCTCTCATATCACATTATAGCGTTACTCAAGTTTTTATAACTATTCAAACCCGGCACCGACGACAACGAAAAGTTTTACAAAATACACGATAAACAAGCGATATTTTAAATTTTTAATATGAAAGGATCTGGGACCGCGTCTTTCTCCTCAGTAAGCAAGCCAGAGGACAAAGTATATATTTTATATCATCAATGGAGGAGGACAACGAGTTTTATCCAACGTTTTGAAAACATATGCACTTACTCAAAATTTATGATTTTCAAAAGGTGTAGTGTAGTGTAGTCGTCATCAATTCGATTATAATCATCATTCTTTTAAGGGAAAAGGGGACGTCATATTTTTTTGGAAATTCAAGAGCAGTTTTTCGTTTGAACCCGAAATTCTGTCAATGAAAAAGTGTTCACTGTTTTCCAGTAGGCAAGTAGAATCTAATGAACAAATTTTCGTGTACGAAGCAGATTCAAAACAAACTGCCTTGGCAACCTCTGACTAGGAGGTTTCTGGCAAAACTGCCAATGGAATCAAGATAGGCGATGCTCGGTTGACTATGGCTTTGACAGTTCGTTTGGCTCAAAACCAGCCAGTCCACTCCTTTCCTTCGGTTCTGTACATACTTGGAAATGAACTAATGCACTGCTTTGCATGAAAACGTCAGTTTAATAACTTCAAAACCTTTCAAATAGGATGAGGTTGCGTCAAAATAAAATGAATTTATAATACATGTATATAATTTATTTATAAAAAATATTCAAGGATTAAAAAGGAGGATATTTTGAGGCAAAAGGAGGACATGTCAAAAAATGTTGAAAAAGGAGGACATGTCCTCTTTTAGGATACCATATGGTAACCCTAGTTAAGATCCACTTTCACGCGACGTTCATTGTTTCGATTTTCTCTTTACGCATGGTTCAGACAATCATAACAAGCTATGACCGACGTGACGATTGTTTAAGACCTGGTTAAACAAGCTATTCAAATGAAATTACGTTCTCGAATTTCACTTGGAATGTAATGAACAACAGAAATACGCGATAATTCATATTTTCAGCGGTTGATGTTTAATTTTAAATATACCAACGGTACTGCCTACGACTACGATGGCGATTACGACGGCGCCTACGACAGCGACTATGACGGAGCCTACGACAACGACAACAGAGAATTTGTAACTTACCATTTGTCTAGGATAAACACCTTTGCCCGGCACCTCCACTGGTTCTTCATGTCCGCTATCTGTCACTGTTTGCAAAATATCTAATAGCAATTACCTTTGTTGTGATACTTCCTGTATTGCCATGGTGATCTGGGAGGAGGTTCGCATCTAGTGCTTTCCCCAGGAACCGTTCACGGCCACCAGCTACCGCCGGTCCAATCTTGGGCGTATCCAGCGAAACATCCTTCAGCTTAGTCACAATCTCCGTCACTCGATGCAATTCGCAGGCACACTTACGCTAGTTACAAAAAAAAAACACTCCTGTGCAAAGAAACGGATCCAATAAACGTTACTCTTGCGGAAGCACACCCGTCGTCGTCGAACGGCAAAAAAAGGAATCGGTGGGCAATTTTGTGATACGGATTTCCAAAATCAAACGGGAATGCACGAATTTCACCACACCCAACTGCGAAACACGTTCAGAAGCACTTATGGTACACTTTCGTTCGAAAACACTTAATTTTTCAAAAAATAGTTGCGAGTGCACCAACATCATCACCGCGTAAATAAACTAAAATTAAAATTATCACTCGCGATGCCACAAATGTTTGGACCGGGAGAAAAAATCAAACAACGCAGATTGCGTTAAATCTTGTGTTGCTTGCAAACATGATGAATCATGTTTTCTTTCTCGATTCTAAAACTTCTCGGAAAGCGAGAAAACCACCACTCACATACGTATAACCGTCCGGGAGGCAGAGTGCCAGCGCTAATCCGGCAAATGCAGCCGAAAACTATGAAAGCGAATGCACGCAAAAAACAGAGAACACACTTAATACACAACCGTATCCAAAGGCGTTCGAAACTCGACTCCTCTCACCGTTTTTGGCTACCCATCAATCGATAAATAGTCTATGGCTCTTTCCGGTAATACCTAGGCAATCGAGAAATATTTTTTAAACTTTATTTTACTTCCGGAAGTTTTTATTCATTTTTAATTTTCCTGAAGTTTTGTCCAACTTCCCTGGAATTTTCTTCCACCTTACCTTGGAAGCTTCTTCAGCATTCGCTCGAATGATTATTTCATCTTCACCCGCCAGTTTTTTAACTTTCCCGGAGCTTCAAGGATGCTATCAGATTTTTATTGCGGATCCACACTAGCTGCAGGCACATTTAAGAAGCTCTGAAACTTCAGAAAAGTCCAGACTTTTGTGTAAGTTTCGATAAATTAAAGCTTCATTAACTTCTCTTAAAATTCAAAACCCGGAAATTTCACAATAGTCCAGCGAACTACAGTGAACTTAAGGAAACATCATAAATATTTTGGAAACTTCACAAGTCCAAAGAACTTCAGGGAAATTTAATGGTTTTCAGGAAATTTAGTGAAGTCAGAGAACATCACGGCAGATCAATTTATTTCAATGAAATTGCTGAAATTATAAAGGAGTTCCGAGAAACTCAGGCAATTTCCGAAAACTTCAGCAATGTTCATGTAAATTTAGGAAACGTAAGGGAAGTTACATGAACATTAGATCATTGTGATAACATTTTATGGGATGTTTTATGTTTTTTAATGGCAGTGTCGATAACTTTTAAAAAGTAAAAAAAAATCAGGAAGATCAGAGAACTTCAATGCTGATGTTACAATAAATTCATGAAAATTGTGAGAGTAATCTAAAGTAAATCTCTAAAAAAGTCCAGAGACCTTCTAAGATGATCAGAGATATTCCGGTAGTCTTATTATAATCAGGGCTCTTGCGCCTCGAGGATGCCCAGAGAACTCCAAAACAGCTCCTAGTTTCAGGAAAATTACAAAAACTTTTTAGGAATTTCGAGAAATTATGGAATATTCCATTCCTGCATTTCAGGAATGTTCCGAAAACTTCAGGGAAATTTCAGAGTCTTCAGGGATGTTTTTTTGAATATCAGGAAAATTTTCTGGATCATTAGAACATCCCCCCCTCCCCCGAAATCTCTTTCATTCGGAATTATGTTCTTGTTTCTTACGACTGTTCCGTAAGCGTTTTGGCTTCCGACTTTCTTCAGATGTTTCTTCCAATTTACCTTAGGAAGTTTCTGCCAGCGTCTCCAGGAAGTTTCTTTCGTCTTCTCCAGGAAGTTCAATTAATTCTACCAGAAATTTCTTTGGTCTTCTTCTGGAAGTTTGACCATAAGCCAAAGGTTTTTTGTTCGACTTCTATTGGAAGGTTTTTCCGAGCTTCTTCTGGCTTTCCCTGGAAATGGCTACTTCTGAAAATTTATTACCGATGTCCGAAACTTGTCTGGCTTCCGTTGGATGTGATATCCGTTTTTTTTCCGATAGTTTATTTAAATTTTCGCCACAAGTTTCTAAATTCGTGTCTTGGAAGTTTCCCGGAGGTTTTCTCAGCTTTTCTTGAGCTTCATTCGTCTTTCTCTGGATGTTTTTTCAGCTCCTTTCAGAAGCTAATTCAAACATTTCCCGGGGTTTTCATCCGGAATTTTCCGATCATAGTTCAAAAGCTAAAATTTTGCTTTGATTAACAGCTTTCTCAGTCTTAAAACACTGCAACGACTACGATGTAATCTGCCCTAAAGAGCCTGAATTTATATAAATTAGACTCTTTTCGGCCATAGCTTGTGGCTTTTTTCAAGGGAAAATATTATTTGTCATTATTGTCAATCGTTTTCCAAATTTTGGTTTCATTTAAAGATATTTAATTGAAGAAAAAACACTACTTGGTCGCATTTTTGATCACCACTTGAGAACAACAATAATTAAAAAAAAATAAAATGAAATAAAAAGTGCTTTAAGACTGAGAAAGCCGTCATACAAAGCAATTCCCTTTAAATCCCAGTCGTCACCATCGTTAAAAAAATTCGCTTTCAAAAACGGCTATAATATAAAATTAAATAAATAGTAAATAGCGATATATACCGATTTTTTAATACTTTTGATACCGATAAGCTTTAAAACAATCTGGCAACGCTGTAGCCCAGTTACCGAGTGCCATTCACTAACTGGACTGCGCTGTTAGCCCAGTTAGCGAACAAGTACTGTACTATGTCCCATCCCACAGCTATCCAAAACATACACGCAAACCAAAAATTTATTACAATGAATGTTAGTTCCATTTCCTATCATCCTCTGTTCGTGAACATCGCAACGAATGTTAGAAGTTGACCTTACAGGCGATGTAATGGTTTATTGTCTTTTTCTTTCGTGTTCTATCTACGCTCCAGACTATACCAGTAAGCTTTTTATTTATAACATTGTAGAACGACTGAATTGACTTTTTTCGCAGGACTCAAAATGGCCGAATTTTAGCTCAAATGTTAATAATTAGCCTTAACAAACAATTATGCAAAGCTTCACGCAAATCGTATCCAATCGTTATTTGGTGAGGTCAATTTAGTCAATTTAATACTCTTGGGTCATTCGTGACTTATCTGGAGATGATATTTGAACTCGTGACTTTGGCGAGAGAGGTATAGTTACGCCTGAACCATATCCCATTTATATTGACCGCAACTCCTAACGGGCGTCAAATCCAAGCAATCATTTTTAAAGAAAACCACTTACCCAATCTTATCCCTCTTTCAGACCCACGGCTACGACAACATCCACCTGACGCTGGTCTGTCCGTACTACATCAACACCGGGATGTTTGCCGGCTGCAAACCCCGACTGTTGCCAATGTTGGAACCGAAGTACGTCGCCGACAGCATGGTCAAGTCGATCCTGAAGAACGAAGTCAACTGCACCTTGCCGGACAACGTACGCGTCTTCTTGCCCCTGAAGTGCCTCCTCCCGGCCAAGGTCTGCTGGGAGCTGATGAACCGCATCATGAAAGGTCCTCAAACGATGATGGGATTCCGGGGACGAGGCAAGGCCACTGCTGGCTGAGCCCTGGCCGCACATTCGTCGTTCTTTCCGTTGATTAAATTATTACTGATGGCTACCTACTTCCCGATTTCGGTTTTTCGATTCGTGTCGAACGTGTTAAAAAATTTATTTTGCTATTAATATATAAAGTATTTATAGTAACAGTTCAAAAGAGCGGTTTTTGAAGAAAAAAAATAAGATTTTATCTCTAATACGGAAAAGCTAAAAAAATATTTACCGGCTTCCTAGAGTGTAAGACGTTTTGTAACTACTTTAAAACTTAAAGTACTTTCAAATAAACGAAAAGTCTTGAAAATGCGTTTTATTTTAAGAATGGTGAAATCTGACTAGAAGAGATCGTAGAAGTAGTCTAATCCTTGTCCAAGTTCCCACAGGGAAATTCCCGTTCCCAGCTCCCTGGCCAGCTTCAGTCTTTCGTTGATGGAGAACAACGTTGGGTAGAATACCATATGGCGACCGTTCGATGTTCTGAAATGATCAAATTATTTAGTTCTGAAGTCCTCCTAAATAGAATTGAATTGACACTCACTTCACTTCGAAGAAATTTTCCACATCATGCTCATCGAACGTGAGATGCCCCTTCAGATGCTTCAGCAATCCCATATACTCGTGACTCACAATCGGTTGTCCCCCGTTAGGGGTGTAATCGCTTCCATAGAGATTCAAACCCAGCAGAATCTGGGCTCGTTTCTCCTTCACATTCTCCGCACTATCCGGGCAGATGTGTTGCACTGCATTCTTCACCCAATAGAGAGGGGCACAGGCTCCCGGTCGCTGAACGCTGGAATAGTCGTAGGTCATCAGCGAGAATGCCGTCACCACGGGAGCCAAAGTTTCAAAGTGTTTCCGTGAAAACAGATCGTAGGTTTCCTTCCGGGCTGGCGGAATCACCAGTATGCAATCGTAGCTCGCAGCGGTTAAGGTTTCGCAGATTTCCTTCACCAAACCGACCAGGTACTCATCGTCGACCCGAGCGGACAGTTGCGACCACACCTCCAGGACGATGCCATCGAATTTGTACTTTCGGACGCTGTGCAGGATCAGTTTGGCCGCTATCGTACGCTCTTCGCTGTACGTCAGCAGCTGGGAGAAGTCCTTGTCGGTGAATTTGTCGAACAAGACTCGGGGAACGACTGCAAATATTGATGGATGTCAAAAAGGTCAAGATTGGTAGAAGCATTTAAATTGGATATTTTGGTCTTCTGGTTCGTTTCCATCCAGTTTAAATGTTGGACTGTTTCAATTTGAAACTATAACAAAAACACGAAAGGTAGTCTGTGTCAAATTTCATTGGATGAACAGATGTTTCTCGTAAATGTTCAGAGAACTTCATCAAATATATCATATTAACAATATGATCCATTCATGCCGTTTCCATAAATTTCAATGACGGCCCGAAAAATATTGCTTCACGCACCATCTAGCGTTGAAAAATCATCCAAATGAAGGTCGCAAATATGGCACTTATTTCAAAAACAAAAGTTAAATTATTTCATTAATTACATTTTGTATATTGCATGAAAATTTTTGTCACTAATCGAATAAAATAATATACTGAAATGCATACAATTAAAATATCTTGAATGTGATATGGCCGTAGACCGCATTTACTACTACTTGAAAATACGTCTTAGCTTGATGAGAGACAAACTTGGAATAGCATTTTATTTCAGACTATGAGAATACATTTATCGATTATTCGTCGTTTGCTAGGTTTCTACCTCCAACACTCCTCCTCGACGAAAGAATCATGGCTGCATCTCGAAACCGCGTTTGCTTGATACGTTGAAGAGGTTTCGTCATCATGTCTGCAATCATTTCGTTTGTTGGAAGGTACTGTGGACTGATGATTCCTTGCTCCTTCAGTTGACGCGCATAGTGGTACTTCGTGTCAACATGCTTCGAACGTCGCTCGCTGGAGTTGGATTCGAGTTACTTGATGGTGCTCTGGTTGTCCTCGTTCACAGCAACCGGAAACTTGGTGTGGATTCCCAAATCGTCGAATAGTCGTAATATCCAGCATAACTCCTTGCAGCTCTCCGTTAACGTACTCGGCTTCCGAACTGCTCAATGTTACGCAATCTTGTTTCCTGGAACACCATCCAATCATACCTCCTGCATACCGGATCAGGTAGCCTGTGGTTGACTTGCGATCTTTGGTGTCACCAGTTCGGTCGGCATCTACGTACACCTCCAATTGCGTGTAATCGGCTCCCAGGATTAGCTCGTGGTCAATAGTACCTTTTAAGTACCTCAAGATACGCTTCGCCTCCACCCAATCAGCCTGTGATGGGCAACTAGTTTTCCTCCCCAGGATTGAAACAGCTGCTGCAACATCAGGTCGAGTACACATGGCCACGTACAACAACCCACCAATCAAGCTGGCATACTGATGGTTATTGGGCAGCGGGATCTCCTCCTTTGGATGTAGGTGGCCTGGGTCCAATGGTATAGCGGGTGGCTTCGCGTTTTCCAAACCGAATCTGGTCAGAAACTTCTGGATGTAGGCTCTCTGACTTAGTGCAACGTGTTTCTCGGAACGGAAGACCTGGATACCAAGGAAGTGCTGGATATCTCCGAGCGACGTCACCGTGAAATATTGGTTCAGCTCATTAACGATGGCCTTGTAGTCGTTTTCAGTCTCGCAAATTGAATGAATGAATGAAATCGTCAACATATACAGCAATATAAGCGATTTTACCTCTGTTCTGCATGACGTAGAGACAACAATCGTTCTTGGACGGCTTGAACCCCATTTGTATCAGCGTTTTGTCCAATTTGTGGTTCCAAATACGGGCGGCTTGCTTCAACCCGTACAATCCTTTGCGCAAACAACAAACCACGTTTTCTGCATCCGCTGTGCATCCAGGAGGCAACCGCATGTAGACGGGTTCTTGTAGCTCACCATTCAAGTACGCTGTCTTGACATCTGCATGTTTGATGAGAAGTTTCTTCAGGCAGGCGACGGAGAATAGTGTCCGGTACGTTGTTTGCTTCACCACGGGAGCAAAAACTTCATCGTAGTCGACTCCATATATCTGCGTAAACCCTTGAGCGACAAGCCGCACCTTGTACCGAATGACCCTTTCATTCTCGTCCGTTTTCTTTTTGAAGATCCAGCGACATCCAATGGTTTTCTTACCAGCCGGCAGCATGGTCAACTCCCACACGTTGTTCTCGTACATCGATTGCAATTCATCCTGTATGGCTTGCTTCCACATGTCTTTCTCCGGACCAGTCACAGCTTCTTGATAGGTGCGCGGCTCGTCATTGTCGTGATGTGCAACCCGACTGTCGGCACAGTAGCGTTGAGGTGGACTACCCTTCGTCACCCTGGTTGATAGTCGCTGTGTACCTACATCTTGCTCTACGTGGATTGGTACCGGCTCCTCCTGTGACTCACCTCCATCGAGTGCTTCTGCTTCATCAGCATCTTCGTACAGGCTTTCATCCGAATGTTCTTCAACACCGTGGAGATCTTCCTCTTCCTTGATTTCACGATCAATTGCTGGTTCAGGTTGTCTCAGCTCCTCCGGTGTATCCGTCTCACTACGGTTTTGATTGAATAGCGATAACGGAAAGAATAACGTACCTTCGTCCTCTGTGGAAATTTCCCCCTTGTCGATCATCGAAGGCAGGAATCGGGCATCCCGGCTAATCGTCACTTTGTTCGTCTTCATGCTGATGAAACGCCACGCTTTGTGTTGCAACGAGTAGCCGACAAAAGTAAGTTTTTCGGCTTTGGATTCGAGTTTCGATCGTTTGACTTCAGGAACAAATACGTATGCTGATGTTCCGAACACTTGCAGGTTCGAAACGTCCGGCTTGACTCCATGCCAAATCTCGTACGGAGTTTGATTAACCGCTTTCGTTGGCAACATGTTTTGCAGATGACTTGCTGTGTTGATTGCTTCTCCCCAGTAGCGATTATGCATACCTGCTTCCAAAAGCATACACCTGGCCATCTCCACCAAGGAACGGTTCTTTCTTTTTGCGACTCCGTTCTGCTGCGGTGAATATGCTGCCGTAAATTGTTGCTGGATACCTTCACGCTTGAGGAACGTCATGATCTTCGCCTCCCTGGATCTCAGCACTTTCGGCGGTCTGCCAAACTTCGTCTTCATTTTCTGCACATAGTCCTGGATAGCGTCAAATGTTTCTGATTTTTCTCGCATCAGATACAGCGTTGTGTACCGGCTGTGGTCGTCAATAAGCGTCAGGAAATAACGACGAACACCCGGGGTCACCATCCTCATTGGTCCACATAGGTCACTGTGTACCAGGTCCATCACAGCCGTCTTTTTCTTCGTTGCTTCCTTTGGAAATGGCAGTCGTGGCATCTTTCCCTGGAGCCAGCTCCCACATGTGCGCCAATCGAAAGTTTTTCATATCCGTTGAGAAACCACGAGATGATATCCCAAGTTTCGTTACTGTCGCTAATGGTAAGAAAGCATTCGTGAAAGGTGTGGGGAACTGCCAGATCCATTGGTACGGGAAAGACAGTGAAGCGAAGCAAATCGTGCTCACCGGTGTCCTGTACGTCCCAGATCTGGATATGAACCTCGATTCCGTCGGGAAACTCGTCCAAAAAGGCGCAGCGGTAGATTTCAACGACAATGGCTGTACGATTGTCAAAGGTACACGGATTGCGGCTGTAGCAAGGCGTAGCAACGGTCTCTAGCACTTGCAGATGGAGGAACGCGTGGGTGCGGCAACTGAGCATTGCAATAAGAAGAACTGTTTGCATGACTGGCACCGTAGGCTCGGTCACCGTGATGTCAAGGCAGTCCAAGAACTGGAGCAACGACAATTGGCGACGGGCATCAATATTAAGCAGTGCGGTTTGGTTTTGCCTTGTGAGACCTGTCTGCAGGGCAGCCTCTTCCGGCTTGACTTCGGGCACGATGTACTTCCATAGTCCTTCGCGAACCAGCAGGAATTTCAACTCCAGCTTCCAGGTTTCGTAGTTTTCTTTCGTCAGCTTCGTTATTCCGGATCTTTCCATCTTGAACTTCTTCGGGCCCAAAACCTCTTGAATGTGATATGGCCGTAGACCGGATTTACTACTACTTGAAATACGTCATAGCTTGATGAGAGACAAACTGGGAATGGCATTTTATTTCAGACTATGAGAATACATTTATTTGTAGGTTGCTTCGATTATTCGTCGCTTGCTAGGTTTCTACCTCCAACAAAATATTATAGAAATTCTCATTAGGTTTACCCCTCGTGAAGATAAACAAATATATTGGAAACCTTTTTGGTCACAGAGGCGCTTTAATAGCAAAAAATTCGATTCACCAGCTAAGCGAAAGAGTGGATCATATTGATAATATAATATATTTGACTTCATAGTAGTTGAGAGGATTTAATAGAAATTTGGGAAATTTACAGAAGTTTTGGGAACTTCTGAGAAGATTGAAGATATTTCATAGAAGTTCGGAGAACTTCATAAAAATACGAAGAGCTACACCAAAATTCGTAGAACTTCATAGAGGACAGTAAACTTTATGGGAACAAAGGCACTCAATACAACTGCCAATTCTTAAAATGTTGTGTGTCACATGAAAGGTACTGGTTCCTGACAAGTATAGGTCATTGCCTACAATAGACGTTCAACATACAGTGCCTTCCCGTTTTTAGCAATACGTGTTTTTGTTTCTTTACTTTCTATAAAATCCATCGCACACCAAACTTAATTTATGACATTAATTGATTGTTCCTTAGGAATTAGGGATGGCTGGTGATTAAATTAAAAAATGGATTGAGAAAATAGCTGATGACGTTGTTGTGCCAAAACGGGAAGGCACTGTTACCTAAGCTTATGAGATTTGATCTATGGTATAACAGCTGATGCTTCTTATCTGGTTTTGATCACTTCTCTGAAGGTCTGACTGGTTGGACTTGTTTAATGATATTCTGGTATGACTTAAAGTATCAGAACATTTCCCCAAGAACATTAGGAGCATGGTTTAATGGGGCTTGGGTACTCAATAAGACCAACAGTTATCATTTAAAAAAAAAAGTATCTTTGATATTAACATCAGAATCACAGAATTCAGAAGGTCTGCCTTTGACACATCGAGTTATAGAAAATTAACGCTACATAGAACATCAATCAAAGGAGGCATCGACTTGTGGAAATATTGACTTATGGAGAGTACGATACATCGAAAAATAAAAGGATCGCTTAACAAATCGAGTTATATAATATCGAGTTGTGGAGAGTTGAATGTATCTGCATTGGAAAAAAATCTATTCCCAATGTTTCAAATCTGTTCATACTGAATGCATTTATTCGTGTCTGTAACAAAATCAAAAAACTTTAAATCAGGCTCATTCTCAGGAGGTACAACGAAAGCACCAGGGGGGTGCATAGCATATCCTACTCCCCCACTTTCCTACGCCAATGCATAAAGCAATAATTCAACGTTTACTTACCATTAAAAATTTAATCATACCTTTATTATTGATCGCTTCCCCGGCCTTCTTAACGTCCCTCACCCAACCTGCATCGATATCATGAGCACCACCCAGCTCATACTGCTTCGGGCCCTTCCTTAACACCTGCAGCCACACGGGCGAGACGTAGTTGAGTTTGCCTCCCCAAGTTTTGGCCACGTCATATCCGTGGTTGTTCCACTGAAAGAAAAAGTAGGACCATAACATAATCACAAAATCATCAGAATAAATTCTCTTACCGGTGTCACATAGCCCAGCACATTTCCTTTAAAATTCTTCAGTGCCGTCTCCTCATAATACGCACCACTCTCCACCAGGATATCCTTGGCGGATGGTTCCTCCTGGATCAAACCCCGATCGAAAACACTCGTCCCCTGGGGACCCTGCTTCACTTTCAGCTCTTTCACTTTCTTGCCTTTCCCCTTGACATTCGATGGCGATAACGTCGCACCGGAAAACTGAACTAGCACTAGCGATAACAGAACAATTCCCAAAATGTGTTTCATTTTTATCACAAAATTGTCCGAGTTTTGTATTCTAAGCAGTTCTTATGACATCGGTACTCTCTAATGAGTCGGACGTACGGTGCAACTGGCGACGAGTTGTCAACTGGTCTACGCTCCCGATTGGCAATGTTGTGATGGAATGAATGCGGTTTATTGCTGCAGTGGATTCATTTTGCCTTCCACGGTATGAAAAATGAACTCAGTGGAAGATGTAAACACGCGATGCCGGGTGTCCCGAACGTTATGGTATGTTCAGTTAACTTTATCGTTACCGTAAATTTCAGGGGGCATCTGTCACTGTGAACCACATACAGATGCACCATAGCTCACATGATTTTGAATTTTTTGGGCAAACTGGAAGCGGTAAAACCAACAATCAATTCGAAACTAGCGATTTTAAATTGGCTCACTACTTGACTAGCAAACGATTAACGTGCCCCATTCTAGTCGAAAGTCTAGTACTACACTATGTTTGTTTTGATTTGCTTTGAAAGTTTGACAGATAAAATAAGGAGTTCGTGGATTTTCCTATGTTTCGAAGGGTGCATCGATTAGCTTGGGACCGAAGATAGTACCAGAGCTGAGCCAAAAGGTTGAGCACGTTTTTTCGGGACCTTGTGGTCTTAGAGTTACCTCTTTGGTAAAACTGACGATGTGACAGAACAAACCAGATAACTCTTTCACACTTGAGAAGAGTTTGCAGTCACCCTACCCATATGTTCATCATATTGATGTGAGCTACGACGAAATTCTTGATTATGAAAATTGTTCGAAAATTGATCTTCTGAAACGTATTACGAACAATTTTTTTTTTCACTGTAGGAAAACTGGTTTCAAACACATTTTGGTTGCCATGTGATTATTCCAATTAACTCGGGCTACTAAATTGGATAGATGAATTCGATGAACTTATCAGAATAATTCGACAGTGAGCATTCATAAGGGCGAATACGCGATGATCGATTCTCTTCATCGATTTTCTCTTTGCATTGCTACAGCTAGGCGAAACAATTTTCTAGAATTTGTTCAATGCAGAGTAGTAACAGGTTGTATTGGCTATCAAAAGCAACAGCAAACGCAACGAGAAACGTTAAATCTAGCGAGTTATTAACAAAAGAGAAAATCGACGAAGAGAATCGATCATCGCGTATAGGCCTTTATGCATGCTCACTGTCGAATTATTCGTTTATTCTATTGCATACAAGTTGGAGGCAGATTGTATGCAATTTCAAATGGGAAGTGAAAGCATGGTTTGAGCGTAGCTACTAGGTAATGGTTTGAGCAATGTTAGCTGATTCATTTAAAGAATATATTTTTTTTTAATTCAAATTCTTTAGAATAAAAAAAAACGTTAATTAAGGTGTAGCACTACTTCATCATACTTCACTTCGCTTCGGCACGCCACCTCTTAAATCGGTGATTTGACATCCTCGTAGAATTTATTTTACATCAATCTTAATTTAACTCGTGAGTAAAGAACTTGATGATTTAATAAGATGTAAGATGTAGCTGAATGACTTCATTGTTATTGAGGCGTATGACGGAAATGGGTCCCGTATGCCGAAGTAGTGCTCCACCCTATGTGGGATCGTCAAACTCTTTCTAAGCCCTAGAGTTTGGTTTTTAATTAGTTACAGAATCATACCATAGAAGTAACTCTAAGACCAGAAGGTCCCAAAGAAACGTGCTCAACTTTTTGGCTCATCTCCGGTACTCTCTTCGGTCCCAAGCTAATCGATACACCCCTCGAAATATAGGAAAATCCACGAACCCCTCATTTTACCTGTCAAACTTTGATAGCGAATCAAAACAAACATAGACGAGTGCACGGATGGACTTGAGTTCACTCACTCGACAAAAAGTGACACAACAGCGGGGTCCTGTTTACTAAAAAGCTTGGGACCGAAGATAAAGGGTGATACGGTCAAAATTTGGTCAATATCAACTTGACGTATTTCTTTCAATTTTGCATTTAAAAAACCTGAACACCCCTCATTTTGAAGGTGTGTGTGTGTGTAGAATGTTGCTCCTATTTTGATTTTGGAATTCACTCTTCAGTTGTCAAAATGCCGTCCAAGCAAGAAGAGCAGCGTATCAAAATTTTGCTCGCGCATCGCGAAAATCCGAGCTACTCGCACGCAAAGTTGGCAAAATCGCTAAAAGTTGCCAAATCAACCGTTACAAATGTAATTAAAGTGTTTGGGGAACGTTTGTCGACAGCCAGGAAGTCTGGATCGGGGGGAAATCGAAAACCGGAAGCCGCTGAGACGACAAAGAGAGTTGCCGGTAGTTTCAAGCGAAACCCTAACCTCTCTCTCCGAGATGCCGCAAATAAGCTGGGTGTATCGTCTACAACCGTGCATCGAGCCAAAAAACGAGCCGGACTATCGACTTACAAGAAGGTAGTGACTCCAAATCGCGATGATAAACAAAATACGACGGCCAAAGCACGATCCCGGAGGCTGTACACGACGATGCTGACGAAGTTTGACTGCGTGGTAATGGACGACAAAACCTACGTCAAAGCCGACTACAAGCAGCTTCCGGGACAGGAGTTTTATACGGCAAAAGGAAGGGGAAAGGTAGCAGATGTTTTCAAGCACATGAAACTGTCAAAGTTCGCAAAGAAATATCTGGTTTGGCAAGCCATCTGTACCTGTGGCTTGAAAAGCAGCATTTTCATAGCTTCCGGGACTGTCAACCAAGAAATTTACGTGAAGAGTGTTTGAATAAACGTCTGCTGCCTTTCCTGAAGAAACACGGTTGTTCCGTACTGTTTTGGCCGGATTTGGCATCTTGCCATTACGGTAAAAAGGCCATGGAGTGGTACGCCACCAACAACGTGCAGGTGGTTCCCAAGGACAAGAACCCTCCCAACACGCCAGAGCTCCGCCCAATTGAGAAATACTGGGCTATTGTCAAGCGGAACCTAAAGAAGACCAAAAAACTGCTAAGGGCGAGCAGCAGTTCAAGGCAAACTGGCTTTCTGCGGCGAAGAAGGTGGACAAGGTGGCTGTACAAAATCTGATGGCAGGGGTCAAGCGTAAGGCCCGGCAATTCGGATTTGGAAAAGCGGAAGCCTAACTGAATATTTTTCCTGAACTTTATACTAATTGAACTTGAGAAAGAAATTTAATTTGATTTTTTAAATAAACGATTTCACCGATTTACACGCGTTTTCCCTTGACCAAATTTTGACCGTATCACCCTTTAGTACCAGAGCTGAGCCAAAAAGTTGCGCCGCGAAGTGAGAAAACTCAGAGGGCTTTGACTTCTTTAACAACTTTGTCGAAGACAGTAACTTTCTATCTGGTCAGGATCTTGCGATATATCACATGCGATAATTTCACTTGTATGCTAGCGCTACGCAGTGAGAAAATTCTGAACTACTGTCCACCAGCAAAAAGGTTATGATCTCCTGAACAACTTTTTTGGAAACAGTAACTTTCTATCTGGTCAGGATCTGGAGATATTCCATGTTGTAACCAATTACGTTAAATCCCACATAGTATGAACACCGTTTACAAGGTTTCCATTTACATTTCCCCTATTATTCGCATTTTCGGGGGTTTACTGTAATCAAAATGTTGGCTTGTTAAGTTCAAAATAAATTTTTTGAAGAATACACATTGGTTTCAGATCAATTGGTAGCTCGGCAATAAAATGGCATTGAAAAACTCAGATGTGTTGTACAAAGTAACGGACGGTTAAAAATTATCACAGGATCATGATTGCAATTTTTTCTCGAATTTTCATTGGGATCATGCTCTGAATTCAATTCTCAGCAATTTAAATTAATTCATTTCAGAATGCCCTTTGAATTTTTTTTTTCTTCCCTTGGGATTCCACTCTATTTGAAAGTTTCTTGCAGTGAAGCAACAAATTCCTTCGATTTCTTATTAATTTTTTTTTATGTGTTTCAAGCCAGAACTCTCCTGGAATTCTTGTCCGAGTTCCTTTGAAGTTTTTTTAGAATTATATTCAGATTTAATTGTTTTCCTCGTTTTAGTATACTCCCGAAGTATTCTCCGAAAATTTCCATGGAATTATGTTTGGCATTGTTTTTCTCCCTAAAACTTTTTGAAATTATCCTCAGAATTCCATTGGCATTCCTAAGAGTCGTCCTTAGGAATTAACTGCAAAAATTCGTATGAATTTTCATTAAAATTCCATTCGAAACCTGTGCAGGGTTTACTTTAAACACTACTCAGAGCTACCTTGGTAGTCACGTTACACATAGAATCTGGAGTTACTCAGGACTACCTTGAAAGCAGATTGCACTTGATGTTTTGCTCTCACAATTCTTCCCAAAACACCCTTGGAATGAGTTCCTTAGAAATTATCATCCAATTTCATGAGCCTTGAAGATTATGCAAGGTCTTGATGTTTTTTTATTTGTGATCTTGAAAATACCTAGGCAATAGGTTCTTGATAATTTCTTCAAGTATAATTATTTTTAAGAATTTAAAAAAAAAAGTGTTCAAATTAAAAATTTTAAAAAAAGTTGGAAGGGTTGTATACTAGATACGACCGCAGGGTTGGCGTTGGATAACGTCTGTTATGTGTTGTACTTAATTGTGTACAGTATGCAAAAAAAGTTTATCCACCCCCCTACCAATTTACAATTGTTTTTGTTTTTCTGGTGAAAATCAGTTTAATTTTATAAGTGTTCCTCCATGATTTATCAATTTATGTTTATTTATCACATTGCCATTTAAAATACGGCGTTTATATCTTTTCTTGAGATTTCATGTGATAAATTATGAAAAATGGTGAAAAATTACGCAAAAAAAGTTTATCCACCCTCAAACGGATACTATGATTTAAGTGTGTTTTACAGAGTTTTAGTGTGTATTCTGCAACTTTATCGAATGTAAACATTGTGCCTATCTGTCATTTAGTGCTCTTGAAGTTTTCGTGCTCAAAATTTCAGTTTTGTGTTCAAAATTGGAAGTTATTTGTTTCAAAATGCCCAAAAAAGACCAAATTTCGATCAGTATCCGAAATTTGATTATTGAACATCACAAAACTGGCAAAAGCTACCGTGATATTGCTGATATTGTCAAGCTTCACAAAGATACGGACGCTAGAATTGTGCAGATGTGC